TACTTAATGATGACTCCCGCCTTACCTTAGGTAGAAGAAGTGGAAAAACTTATGGCAAAAGTCGAGAGAGAAAAGAAAGAAGTGGTCGAACCAAAGAAGGCAATCGTGATGAAGGATGAGGCAGAAGCCAGCAAGCAGGCAGCTGAAGCTAAAGGAATTAAGGACGAGTGCGAGGCAGTGTTGGCCGTCGCAATGCCTGTGCTGGAAGAAGCTTTAGCGGCACTGGACACGCTATCAGCCAACGACATCAATTACGTGAAGAAGCTTTCAAATCCGCCGGCTGCAGTGAAGCTGGTGATGGAAGCTGTTTGTGTGATTCTCGACGTCAAGCCTGCAAAGATTCCGGACGGGAAGGGTGGGACGCTGATGGATTACTGGAAACCATCAGTCGTTTTGCTGAACAACAAAGACTTTCTTCAAAATCTGAAAGATTATGACAAAGACAATATCGAGGCCAAGATTATCGCAAAGATCCGAAGTCAGTATACGAGCAATCCAGAGTTTACACCTGCAAAAGCTGCTAATGCGTCGGCTGCCGCTGAGGGACTTTGCAAATGGATCATTGCAATGGACAAATATGATACAGTGGCTAAGTTTGTGGCACCAAAGAAAGCAAAACTTAGAGAAGCGGAGGGTAAATACGAAGTGGTGATGGTGGGGTTAAGGGCTAAGCAAACAGAGCTTAAAGGTTTACTAGATAAGTTGGGTCAACTCGAAGAAGAGCTTGATGCGAACATGCTGAAGAAAGAAAACCTTCAGGTAAAATCTTGATTTCCATACACACTTTCACCTCTACATTTTGTCTTTTCACTTCTGCAGCATGAAGTGAAAATGTGTACTGTCAAGCTAGAGAGAGCTGAACAGCTCATCGGAGGACTTGGAGGGGAGAAAACACGGTGGATTGCTGCGGCGAAGCAGCTAGGAATCGAGTACGTGAATCTCACAGGCGATGTTCTAGTGGCTTCAGGGATAATTGCCTATCTCGGTGCCTTCACTGCCGGGTATGCCTTCGGTTTTGTGTTTCTTTTCCCATGCAGAGTCATCCCTGTGTGTGTGACGCAGGTACCGGATTGAAATTGTCGACCTGTGGACAAAGCTTGTTCGCAGTGAAAACATTCCGCGTTCGACATCCTTCTCCTTCTTTGATATACTGGGTAATCCAGTGCATGTCCGCGAATGGATGATAGCAGGGCTGCCAAACGATTCGTTTTCAATAGAAAACGGCATCATAGTTGCGAATTCTAGGCGGTGGCCGCTTATGATCGATCCGCAGGTATCTGCTGTGGTTGGCCATTTGTCTGCGTACTTGATGGTTTTGTTTGCCAGGGACAAGCCAACAAGTGGATCAGAAATATGGAGAGGGAACGAAACCTGCAGATAATCAAGCTGCTTGGTGGTGGTGACTACATGCGGATCCTCGAAAATGCCATCCAGTTTGGATTGCCAGTGCTCCTGGAAAACGTTGGCGAGGAGTTGGATCCATCCCTGGAACCTTTACTGCTGCGGCAGGTAAGAGACAGCCTTTGGAAACCTCTTCTCTGAGGAGCAACATCTGTCGTGCAGATTTTCAAATCAGGAGGCATGATGTGCATAAAACTGGGAGACACGGTCATTGAGTACAACAACGACTTTAGATTCTACATAACTACAAAGTACCGCAACCCGCATTACTTGCCCGAAACGGCTGTCAAAGTGACCCTCCTGAATTTCATGATCACCAAAGATGGTTTGTCAGACCAACTCCTAGGTGTGGTTGTCGCCAAAGAGAGGCCCGATTTGGAGCAGCAAAAGAACGAGCTTGTGGTTCAGGTGAATAATTGTCTAAGTCACCATCGTTCAACCCCAGCCTCTTGTGTATTTCTCAGGGCGCGGAGAACAAGAGGAGGCTGAAAGAGCTAGAAGACAAGATCTTGGAAGTGCTGTCTAGCAGTGAAGGCAACATTCTGGAAGATGAGACTGCTGTGAAGATTATCTCAGAGGCCAAAGTCGTCGGTAATGATATCACCGTCAAACAGGTGCGCGCTGAATCTACTGTCCAGCTCGTGGCTGTCAACTTATATCGTGTCTCGCAGACCCTGGCTGAGCAAACGGAGAAAAATATTGACGAAGCTCGAAAGGGTTACCAGTCTTGTGGAGAGTATGCTGCCATACTGTTTTTCTGCATCACGGACCTTGCAAACATCGATCCCATGTACCAGTACAGTCTACCATGGTTTTCATCGCTTTTCGTCATATCCATCGCTTCAAGCGAGAAGAACCCGGACCTGATTAAACGCTTGGAGATTATTCAAGACTTCTTTCTATACGTCCTCTACAACAACGTGTGCAGATCCCTGTTTGAGAAGGACAAGCTGTTATTCTCGTGCCTTTTAGCTTCAAGGATCCTTGAGATGAAAGGTGAGATTTCGGTCCCAGAGTGGATGTTTTTCCTCACAGGAGGGGTGGCATCGTCGCCCGATCGTCCAAATCCTGCTCCGGAATGGTTGCTGGACAAAGCATGGGGTGAACTTTGCAGGGTGTCCAAGTTTCCCGCATTTGCCGACCTCAGTGACCATGTGATAGCCAACACGGCCGCGTGGAAGGCCATGTTCTCATCACCGGAGCCACACATGGAAAGAATTCCAGGAAAATACGACGACGTCACCTCATTCCAGAAGCTGCTCGTTCTTCACTGCATTCGACCAGACAAAGTTATTCCGGGTATACAACGCTTTGTGACTGAGAAGCTGGGGGAGGAATTCGTCCAGCCGCCGCAGTTCAACCTTGCCTCCTGCTACAAGGACTCGAGTGCAACGTGCCCCCTCATCTTCGTCTTGTCGCCGGGGAGTGATCCCACCGCTGCTCTCCTCAAGTTTGCAGGTACTGTCCGTCCTTCACCCTGAACTTGATCTCTACAGCTCTTGTTATTGCAGGCGACATGGAAATGGGAGACAGGCTTGCTCCCATTTCTCTTGGGCAAGGCCAAGGGCCAAAGGCCGCGACGATGATCACCGATGCCATGGCAACAGGTTCTCAAAACTATAAGACAATATTAACTCTAACGCGGCGGACTTGCAAGCAGGTTCATGGGTCCTCCTCCAGAACTGTCACCTTGCTCCGTCCTGGATGCCCGAGCTCGAGAGGATTTGCGAGAACGTTCCTGCTGAAGTTCATCAGGACTTCCGGCTCTGGATGACTTCCTATCCAAGTCCCAAGTTCCCTATAACAGTTTTGCAGGTTTGGTGCTCCTTTCAAATGTGTGCCTGATCTCTTTAATCGCATGATCGATCCAGAACGGGGTGAAGATGACGAATGAGCCCCCGAAAGGCCTCAGAGCCAACATGCGAAGATCATACGGCCTGGATCCAATATCAAACGAGGAGTTCTTTGAGAGCTCCAACCAGCCCGAGGTTTTCAAAGGCCTCCTGTTCGGTCTCACTTTCTTCCATGCCGTTGTGCAAGAGAGGCGTAACTTTGGACCTTTGGGGTGGAACATTCCATATGGGTTTGATGACGGAGATCTGAGAATAAGGTAAAGCTTGACACTGTTTTAGCGACTGAACTCGAAACTTGTGACTTCTACAGCGTTCGCCAGCTACATATGTTCATCAATGAGAGCACTCCTGGTCAACTTCCATTGGAGGCACTGAGATACGTGACTGGAGAATGCAACTATGGAGGACGAGTTACAGGTCTGGATTGTACAGTCTTTTGTCGACTCTTGTGCTCAAGAAAATCTCTCCTCTGTGCAGATGACAAGGATAGGCTGCTTCTAAACACCATCCTCCGCACAGTTTACTGCCCTGAAATGCCGCAGCCAGGGTACAAGCTCTCTGAGTCTGGCATCTACCAGACACCTGAGCCTGGGAACTGGGAATCCTACGCCAAAACCATCGACACATTCCCAATTATCCCGGGGCCCGAGGTCTTTGGCTTGCATACCAATGCCGACATAACTAAGGACATGAACGCCACGGCTTTAATCCTCAGCTCCTTGCTCGCAACCTCGGCCGCTATGGTGAGCGCAGGTGGCGGGGGCGGCGGGGGTGACGGGGGTGGTGGCGAGGGGGGAGTAGCGGTGGTGGTGAGGGAGATACTCAGGATTCTTCCTCCCAACTTTGATATCGAGGCTTGCGAGAGGAAGTACCCGGTTCTTTACGAGGAAAGCATGAACACGGTGCTGAGCCAGGAGATGACTCGGTTTAACAAGCTCCTCGACAGGTTGGTTTGGCAATCTTGTGTTTCTTCTTTTTGCTACAGCTCTCCTTTACAGGATTCGGGGATCGCTCATCAACATGGAGAAAGCGATTCGCGGAGTTGTGGTTATGTCTGCCGAGCTTGAAACGGCCTATAAGAGCATGATGATCAACCAGGTGCTTTTCTCTTGTCACTTTGACGAAATGTTCCCGAACTCTCTTTGTGGACCAGGTACCCGCGCTGTGGCAGAAGGTGTCGTACCCATCCCTCAAGCCACTCTCTTCCTACATCACCGATCTCATGGAGAGGCTGCACTACTTGCAAGACTGGTACGACCATGGCGTCCCCGCAGTCCACTGGGTGAGCGGCTTCTTCTTCGCGCAGTCCTTCCTCACGGCGGCCATGCAAAACTACGCCCGCAAGCACCGCTACGCCATCGACACCCTGGGCTTCGACTACTTCGTGGTGGATGGCGAGCCAACGCAGGCACCGCGGGAGGGAGTGTACATCAAGGGCCTCTACCTCGAGGGCTGCGCCTGGGATCCCGTCAACAAGTGCCTGTGTGAGTCGCAGCCCAAGGTGATCTTCGTGCCGGCGCCAATCATCTGGCTCAAGCCCGTGCTCCAGTCGGACATGCGGGACTTCAATCACTACAACTGTCCGGTGTACCGGACAATGGAGAGGCGAGGTGTTCTTGCCACGACTGGCCACTCCACCAACTTCTTGATGTATCTCAAGATGCCCAGCAAGGAGCCGGCCGATCATTGGATACGTCGAGGAGTCGCCATGCTCTGCTCGCTCTCAGACTAAAACCCAGACGTAAGAGCGCTAGAGAATGTACATATGTATATATATATATATATCTATGCTCTGGTTACGTTAGAAAGGAGCCACCTAGCGCTAGTGTTTCATACCACCCATGAATGTTTTCGGGTTAGGACACTGGCCACTGAATTCTGCTTGCGAGAAATCAAATCCCGGGTGCTACACACGCGATGGAAACGATAAGAGAGAGAAAAGGAGAGAGAAGGCCCTTGACTTGTACCTCTTCCTGGAAGCGTTCAAGCATTAGTCGACGCTTCTCCAAATCTGCCGAGTAAGGATCCAATTGTCCATGTCCCTCAATCGCGGTTTGCCACGGCTGGCCCTTGTCTCGTTTCTGGAGATTAATGTGCAGAGTCTCGTCCTCTGAGGAAAAAAGAGTGAGAATGGACCGCGCTCTCAATGGAGGCGGGCGTACCTATTGTCCAGAACGAGCCATCCAGCTTGACAGGGCCCCCTAGATTGTGCTGGAAAGCGGCATAGCATGGTCAGGCAGCGCATACAACTCAAACTCGGCTTACATTGAGGTATGGCGGATTCCCTTTGATGCCGACTTCCACATGTTGCAGCTGGATATTGCAGGAGAAGAGCTTCTTGGGAATTTGCTTGGGCAAATCGATGTAGATATTCACCTCGTCCAGCGTCTGATCCCACTCGTAGATGGTCTGCCCTGCACATAGTTAGAGCTAAGTGCCCGGCAGTGGAGGGAGGCGGGCATACCATTGTGGACGAACTTGTGGCGCTTGTCGGGGGCGAGCTTGTCGGACATAGCTGCTCTCGAGGAGGACGCGCCCTAAAATGCTGTGCCCTACTTGATGTGTCTCTGGAAATAAGTAAACGATTTCCGGCGGTATTAGTTAAAACAAACAGCACACGTGAAAGCATGCGATTTAAACCATGTGTGCTGTTCCCGATTCTCCCTACCACCTTGACCACCGAATCCAGTAAACAAACAATTCCCATGACAAGTCATATTATAAGCTCGGCAAGGCGGGGAGAGCGAGTGAGGCGAGTGAAGCGCGGAAGAGTGCACACTCACAGCGCGCTTTCATGTACCGTGCAGCTTCAACATGGTAAACTAATCTCTCCTTGGTCTTGGTCTTGGCATGACACCAACTGGCGTGGTATCAGATCTTCAGGTGGTTGCACCGCAAGTTCCTTGAGCCCAAACATTCCAACCGAGGTGAGGGCCTACTTTTGTTTCCATTCCAACAGAGCTCAATGTTTGCTGCAGCCGACACAAGCAGCAGCAAGCCGAGGGTGTTAGCAGCACCAGTCACAAGCGGCAGCACCAGCTCCAGCACCAGCAGCACATCCAAAAGCTCTTCCAGTAGCAGCAGCAGCAGTAGCTGCTGTGCCTGTGGAGATGCTCCCGAGCAGGAGCTCTCTAACCCAGGAAATCCAAGAGCAGACGAACAACTCACCCAAGGCCGCCTGATCATGAGCGGCAAAGTATTCCCGACGCAGAGACGAGGCATGGTTGCAGCGCAAGCGCAACGCCGATCTCAGCTTGCCGTTCCTAGTCCTGCCGCTGCTGACACTGCCAACTGCACCAACAGCATCAAACTCCGGCGAGTGAAGTGCCTCTTTTCTGTCATCCGATCTCCTCTCAAGTGGACATGGCCACAGTGCCACTCCCACAAAAGAAGCTCCAGTCGGCCGCGGATAAAATGTGCCAGCTTCCAAAAGGTAATACAATGTTTTAGTGCTCTTCGGTGCTTCCACACTTATCTTCCACAGGTGCTCGCCAGGCTGCAAAAGCGGGCCTGCTTTTCATCTTGTCGCACCAGCACCGGCACTAGCAACCACCAGTTGCCAGTCTCAGCCCAGGTTCCTAATCCAGCTCAAGCGCCAAACAGATTTCTCAGCCCCTCCCACCCTACTGCTGCCTCAGAATCAGTCCAAGTTTCACCTCAGAAACGATCCTTTCGGAAATCGCTCAGCGCCTCCGACCCGGAATATTGGATCAACAGCAACTCTGACTGTGAGTGTACTTTCGTGTTGCCGAGCGTTCTGATCGTATCACCCTTAATGCAGACGTCGATTTCGTCATGACAAGTGACATGAAAGATTCCAGAAAATGATCCTGATGTAACTGGCCAAGAGTGTAAACATGTCTAAGCCGACATGGAAATGGACTGCTAGCCATAGCGTTTCCACCTATGTGAAAGAACATTGGTAAACTTCTATAAAAACACAGAATACCTGTTGCGTGGCAGCTACTTGTTGGCCTCTGCAGCTTGAAAGAGCCGACCCAATGCGAAACTTTTCGAACTTTTTGTCTTTCTACAGCTGATGTTTGTGGTTGATCCCGCTCGTACCCTCTCCATGATCATCTGCTTTCCGGAGTGATCTTCATCGTACGCAACAATCTAGAGAGATGAAAAAGGTCAACCGAGAAGTACCAGGACAGAAGAAAGTACCTGTGACTCAATCTGAAACTCCTCATGCCCACTGTCGCCACCATTACTTAATGCATTTGAATCGCCTTCATGCTCAAGGAATCTGCTAAAAAATATGACTACAGCCACCAGGACGACGCCACCAAGCTTACCTTCCCGCCTTTGCGTTCTCAGACAGAAGGCTTCCTTTATCCCTGACAGCAGCTTCAGAAAGGAGCTGACAACCGTCAAGGTTTGCAGCGCATAAACATTTCAAACAAAAGGATACGTCGTACTCGTTCTCCTCTTCTCCTGATAAATTTCCTTCCCATTTAGCCTGAGAACACGCGGAATGAAATTGCGCGGAACAGTTTAATGACATGAAATCTACCTTGCCTGTTTGAGCCAAAAGATGTTCAATGGCAGCCGCGACATCTGGTTGAGACGGCATACTGTCCTCAATCTCGACCCCTAACTGAAATAAGTCTTTGGCGTCGCCACCAGGTGTAGCCTGTGTGTGTTTTGCTATGTCTGGACGATTACTTTCCGCACCAGTCGTTGACCAGCTAGCGGTCAGCACTTCCCAGGCGTCAAAACCACCTTCATCACACGCAGCTGGCCGTTTACAAGTATCAGAGCTCCTGCTGTTAGATGACTTCCTCTTCCCTGGCGTGAGACGAAAAGGTCAATTTGGTTTTTCTAATGTAAAGCTCTACCTGAGCAAATTCCTTCGGAGCGACATTTCTGTGTCACCACCCACTGCGAGCCTTCTATGCGAGAGCGACCTGAAGGAGGAGCTTGCACTGAGTAGTCTTCAAGAGAAACCACTGCGTTCTGTAGCAGAGGTTAGTAAGCATTACAGTTTACGTGCAAATACCTGGCCAACACAAGCGTAAAGCCACTCGATTGTGACAGCCGGAATACCAAGTAGAACTGCAGCTTGAAATTTGTCTCCATCGCCCGCTTTACACAAAAGATGCGTTACCTTCTTCGTCAAGGTGTTGTTGAATTTTGCGCCCAGAAGACCGCAAAGGTGACGGCATAATGTCCGATCTTTATCATCGTATTGAGAAATGCATAGTCTGAAGCTCTCAAAACCAGGTAGCGGTATTCTGCAGGGTAAGGGACGGTACAAAACGTGGCCCTTAGTGTCAAGCAGCTTCCCCTCCTAAAAGATAACCATTGGTACAAAATAAATCACAGAAAACAACTCTCACCAGAAGACACTGTTGTAGCCAATGTATGGACACGATGGAGACGTTGAGCTTTGGTGATGGAGAACCGTGGAAACCGATCAAGTAATCAGCTTTGCTGCATGCATCTTCAAAAGCCCCTCCAGCCGCTTTAATACCTTCAACAATTTCCTTTTTGATCACCTGTTTGGAAGAACAATGTCGGGCCTCATAAGAAGAAAAGATCAATACCTCGTAACAACTGGACTTTTCTAAGAATGCGAAAGTGACACCGAAAAACACGCCTTTCTCCTTCTGTTCCTTCATATCAGAATTTGCAGCAGAAACAGTTTCTAGGACGACTGCAGTTGCGGGAGATATGTCGAGGGACTGCACACGGTGAGGTTTCTGAGGAAGCACATCGGATCTAAGGCTCCCTGCCGAAAGCACAAAAGGTTATGAGATGCAGAGAAAGGTTTAGTACCTGGCAGCATTTGAGATGGAACGTGTGTATTAGCTACACCAATTTCTTGCCGAGTTTGTGCACACTCCTCAAGCCAGGCTGAGGTGACAACTTGTATTGCACCCCCTGCAGTAGCCCGTTGAACGCTCTTAACCTCACTGGTTTCGCAAATAGGATGTAAAACATAATAGAGAGAGAGGAAAAAAAGGGAGGCTTACCTGTCGGATACACTTCCCAGAACAATATGAGTAACTGTCTTATTCAGCTCTATGTACCTTGTGGCTCCACCATCCAAAACAATATCTACAAGACGTTTCATGTCATCCGGCTGAAAGCCTACTATATAGAAGCGACAGTTTGCAAGGTACGAATCAGCTTCTGTCCGGCCGCTTCCTTGCAGAGGCTGGACAACCTGTAAACCACCTGAATGACACTGATTGGCCACAACCTGATAACTGATGCTTTCCGGCATGTCATCGACCACGCTAGTGTCATTTCTCGCTTGTACTGTAACTGGGAACAAGTCCTCGTCGAGACAAACTGCTTAAGGAAATGCTGTTAGCGCATCATCCTTTGTCATCATCAATACCTTGTGAGGCTAAACTCTGCCATAGCCAATCCTGGTTAACAACCTTGATCGTCCCCCACGTTTTTGAAGCCAAAAACTTTTCCCCGTCGGGCGAGTGTTTCATGTCAAGGAGTTTTCTTTGATGAACGATAAAAACCAGCAATGGATATGGTAGCTATGAGATGTGTGCATTCCTTGGTCAGGTTAGGGGAGTAGGATGCCCCGTTCTGGTTTGCAGCTTCAGCTATCCGCACCCGCACGTCTATCACAACGGTCGCAATAACTCAATTAGCCATGTACGATAGATAGCAGCAACACGTACCAACGGGTACCTGTGTCGCACAAATGTTGAGACCAGACAGGGGAGAGAGCTTGTGAGGTCGATGAGGGACAAGCTGGTGTTCCCGAGAGCACAGGTCCAGCCAGCTCAAACCAACAACAGGCTTCTTTTGTTGGCATGCTACCTGCCATGTAAGTTGCCCAGGAGCTGGGTGGGATACATGTATGAATGAGAAAAGAACCTGATACGCTGGACTGGAGACACCTTTAGCAATTACAAAGTCGGTGGACGAAGAGACGCTGGCATCCAAAGTTCCGCACATGGACGTCACAAGCCACTCGATCTTGGACTGTCAAGGAATGTAAAGATTGCTATCGTCTCAGGCAGGCACGAGGGATGGCTACCTTGAGCTTTGAATCATCAAAGCCGGTTGCGTGGACACGGATGCCCTCCAACGCGAGGCAGCAAGTACAAGGTCGCCTGGGAAGTGGCTTGCTCATTTTGGCGCACTGGAAAACACATTGAGGGCCTGCGCATGGAGTGAGTAGCACTAGGCCGAAAAACTAAGTAGCTTACCAAGGATCTGACACCCTTTGTCTTGCAACGAGCGGGCTTTGTCCTGCACGAGAGCTAAGGCAGCTAGGGCAAAGAGAGAGCGAGAGAGAAATACCGAGTCGGGCGCGAAGAGGACGTGGAAATCAAGCGACGAGTGCGCGGATGGATCGCAGCAGATGTTGACCTGGGCGCCGCGCTGCCGCAGGATGTCGTGCAGGCTGTCGATGACATCCGGTGGCAGCAGATTGCGCGAGAGGTAGAGCTTGGCCCCGGCGAAGAGCGCCATGGCCGTGCCCTATTAGGGCAGACAAAGCGCGGGAAGATCCGCAGCGAATCTGCATCGAATTTTGAGTGTTTGTACTGGGCAAGCAAGCCATACTAAAAGTGTGCGCATTTAGCATCGGACCAAGGGGTTGACCGAGCGATGGCCGCACCAGTGACCGGTCCAACGTGGGCCACGTGGTCCAGCTCCAAGTCAAACGTGTGCTGCTGTTGCTGCTGCTGCTGGTGGTGGCGTTGGGAGTGAACTGGGTAGGTGGTCGCAGCGACCAGTAAGTATGCTTCTTTCTTTTCCTGTATCTTTATAAAGACTGCCACGATTCTTCTCCTCAATGCTTCCTTGGCGGAGCATTCCACCCAGTTCTCCCTTTTGGCGCGGCGGAGGCGACTGAGAGAGAGAAGGAGAGAGATCGAGATCGGGGACGGAGAGAGCAAAGAAAAAAGGAAAGCAGCGCAGCGTGGACCAATTCTCGCCACCCAGACGGGCAGATGGCTTCTCGATAGAGAGAGAGAGAGAGAGAGAGAGAGAGAGAGAGAAACAGAGTGTTAATTAGCAGAGCCAGGGGCATCTCCGTAAAACTATAGTTTTGAGAGGAGCCGGGTAAAAATCAATTCCCAGGGAGGAGGCCGAGATTCTCGTGGGTGGCGTCGTGGTGGTTCCACAAATCCAGTCGGCTGCGTGCTTTGCGTGTGCTTAGAAACGAGAGCGATTCCGGAGAGTTGAGCAGGGAGCTTGTTGCTCTCGCTCATTCCTTGTCAGATTTGCATCCAGTGGAGGAGCTGTTGCCATGGCGACGGATCAGCATGTGGCTGCGGAGTACATATTCAGGTCCAAGCTCCCCGATATTCAGATCCCCAATCACGTTCCTCTGGCCACGTACTGCCTGGAGCGTGCAGCGGCAGATCCAGAGCTGGGCGGCAAGGCGGCGCTCATCGATGGGCCGACGGGCACGCAGATGAGCTACGCACAGCTGGGCGTGGCCATCCGCAGGGTCGGCGCTGGGCTGGCCAAGCTGGGAATTGGCAGGGGCGAGGTGGTAATGCTCCTGCTTCCAAACAGCATCGAGTTCGTGCTCGTGTTCCTGGGCTGTGCGGTGAGGGGCTGCGTCGCCACCACCGCCAATCCCTTCTACACCCCGCCCGAGATTGCAAAGCAGGCCAAGGCGTCGGGCACCAAGCTCATTGTGACGCTGTCCACGTATGTGGACAAGGTGTCGGGCATTGCAGAGGTGATGAGCATCGACAGGGAGGTGGAGGGCTGCCTCCACATATCGGCGTTGACGCAGGCGGACGAGGGCGAGTGCCCCGCCGTGGACATCCAGCCCGACGACGTGGTGGCGCTGCCATTCTCGTCGGGCACCACCGGCCTGCCCAAGGGCGTCATGCTCACGCACAAGAGCCTCGTCTCCAGCATCGCCCAGCAGGTGGACGGTGACAACCCCAACCTCTACATGGCGCCCAGCGACGCCGTCCTCTGCGTCCTCCCCATGTTCCACATCTACTCGCTCAACTCCATCCTCCTCTGCTCGCTGCGCACCGCCTCCACCATCGTCATCATGCCCAAGTTCGACCTCACGCAGCTCCTGGAGCTGGTGACGCGCTACTCCATCTCCATCGCGCCCATCGTGCCCCCCATTGTGCTGGCGCTGGCCAAGAACCCCGCCGTGCTGGCCTACGACCTCAGCAGCATCCGGATGGTGCAGTCGGGCGCCGCCCCGCTGGGCAAGGAGATCGAGGACGCATTCAGGGCGCGTCTGCCGCGGGCCACCATCGGGCAGGGCTACGGGATGACCGAGGCCGGCCCAGTCGTGGCGCTGTGCCTGGCATTTGCAAAGCACCCCTTCACCGTCAAGCCCGGCTCCTGCGGCACAATCGTGCGCAATGCCGACGCCAAGATTGTGGACCCGGAGACCGGCGCGTCGCTGCCGCGCAACCAGCCGGGGGAGATGTGCATCAGGGGCCCCCAGGTCATGAAAGGTACTTAATCAATCCATTTGCCACCCCGGAAACCTAAAATTCACGTAAATGAAATGCTCAGGCTACCTCGGCGATCCCGAATCCACGCGCTCCACCGTGGACAAGGACGGCTGGTTGCACACTGGTGACGTGGCTCTCATCGACGATGACGACGAGGTGTTCATTGTGGACCGGGTCAAGGAGATTATCAAGTACAAGGGCTTCCAGGTAATCTTGGGTCGCTTTCCCTCTCACGCGGGACCATTTTTTACCTTCAGGTGGCTCCCGCGGAACTGGAAGCGCTTCTCATCTCCAACCCATCCATTGCCGACGCTGCAGTCGTTGCGTAAGCCTCTCCCGTGTCTTTGTCTTTGCTTGCTGCAATGCTCTCTAACGCGTGCACGTCACCTTGGCAGCAAAAAAGACGATCTAACGGGCGAAGTGCCGGTTGCGTTCGTCGTGCGGGCGGCCGACTCTCACATCTCAGAGGACGACATCAAGGGCTTCGTCTCCAAGCAGGTGAGTTGGCTTGGGAAAGCGAGCGAGCGAGCGCATCCCCCGTCCCGTGTACTCACCGCACTCTCTGTCAGGTTGTGTTCTACAAGAAGATACATTCCGTCTACTTCGTCGATTCCATCCCCAAGAATCCATCCGGCAAGATCCTTCGCAAGGAGCTCAGAAGTAGACTTTCCTCTTAGGTGTTACGATTCGTTGTCACAAGTCGACTATTTATTTTATACTTGCAGGGCTCGCACGCTCTTTTTGCTTGTACATTTGATTCAGGGCAAGGTAGCTAGCTACCACAGAACAAAATCACATTGCCTGCGCGGCGGTGGAGGTGGTCAGGTTGGTTACACGGTAAGGCTAGGTGTGTTTGTTGGCTGTTTAGCTACATGTACACGGTGGCTAGCCAGTATATATACTGCGCTGCGTGTATATATAAAAGCCGGCGCGCGCCTCTCTCTACTCGTCTGGTTCGTGTTCCAGCAGCACCTCGTCGATATTAAACAGCTCGTCTTCCTCGTCGCCCATCCACTCGCCCCTCTCCTCAACCTCGTGCGTCTTGTCGCAGATGCACACCCGGGGGTTCTCAAATATGTCCCGCCTCGACGACCTCTCCATGGGATCCCCCATGAACCCCTTCTGCAAGCTCCGGAGCTTGGCTGCGAACTGCTCCCACCCCATCTCCTGCCTCAGACCAAAGAAGGAGCCCAGCTTCTTTGCATTGGGACGAATAGTTCTCTTGTGGCCCGCATAGCGCCTGTGCGCAAGACAGCACGGAATCACGTTAGTTCTCGCGTGTGACAAGCTCACCTGTGGCCAGCTAGAATGCGTGCCATGTTGCCGTTGTTGTTGGTCACAAACACGTCACTCTGATTGCACACGATGTAGTCAATGGCCGCCATTCGCGACGAGTATCTGGAGAATTGTTCCATCTCCTTGTCACTGGCCAGGCTCTCCTTGGTGAAAAAGTGGGGGAACAGGGCCCGCAGGGGGGCTAGCGTCGATTCCCCTCCGTAGATGTCACCCGATGCAACGTAGAGGTACGTCTCGTTGCTGAAGCCTAGCGCCCGCAGCATCAGGCCCACTTCCATGGGTGTGAGCGGACACTTGCCGTTCCTCCGCTCCCTTTCGGGACTTCGGACCTGAAGAACCACCCACAAAGCACAAGCCGTTGGCGTCGGCTACCAAGCACACAAGGTGTCCACCTACACGTAAGTTTTTCCACCGCTTCCGGATGCTTGCCAGCTCCCGGACCTCTCTGTCGCCCCCGCCATAGTAGCACCCTGAAAACGCCAACATATCAGGCTCGTACCTACAGGCAGTTAGCGCGTCGTGAAACAAGCACACAAACCAGCCCATGCCCACCTCAGGTGTAGAGCAATAAACCGGCCGCCGCTCATAGATTTCATCCTCTGCACCAGCGTGCGGCCCATGCCCTCGATTGGACCTGTAAACTGCAGCGCATCGTAGTTAACCCGGCACCGCAGCTTCTGCAGGTCCGTGGAGAGATTGTTGGCAAGCCTGTAGTCGAACTTGGTAAGGCGCACTGCCTGCACTTGCCCGTGTAGATCGCATTAGGACGGATCCGTTTCCCAGGACATCTCTCTTACGTTCTTCCTGACTAGGGTAGGGAGCACCGATTTCTGGTAGTAGTGAGGGGTGCTCTTACGGGGGACTCGCAGAGATATGGGGTTCTTGAGACGCGTTGGCAACTCCTTGACGATCCTCACGTCCTGCGCAAGGGTGGCGATGAACCAGTCGATATCAAATATGTCGCTAAAGTTGCTGCACACGGGAAGCTTGTCTGTCTTGTGAATGCAGGCAAGTTAAGTGATCGAACCTGTTGTCCTTCCAAAAGGAGGTGTGGTCCAAGCTCGGAACTACAAGCGTCGCGTTTAGAATTCTCGCCACAACAACAGCATCCGTTATCTGCAAGCATCCGACGAGTGAGAGGTGCTCTGGGATGCACGACTTACACCAATTCGCTGCTGGTTGAGCCCTCCGCTTGCTTGGATGAGTAAGAAGCCATTGGTGGCGTAGGGCGGGGCCGAATAGTTGCTACTGGGCTTGTTGCAACCGTAGTAGTAGTCTGCGAGCTTGGAACTCCAAATGTTATCGCTGGTGCTGCTCTGGAGAGGAGCCGTGAAACAAAGGAATGCCAGTGAGCTCTGCTTACCGGGGGCACGTCGCTGAGATCTTGGGCTGGAGTGAGTGGTGGCACGCGCTGCTCCTCTTGGGTCCATCGCAGCTGCCGGGGGTCGTGATCCAGATCAAGGAAGCGTGTGGCCAGAATGGAGAGCGAGGCTACCACCACAAGCGTGAGGCCACACAAGAGGAGCCTGATCGACGGGAGCCAGCTGCGTTCCCTTCGCGCCATGCTCGCCGCAACCCATGGCGAGATCACTCCATAGCTTAAACCCTAGTTAGGGCTGTGAGAGGCGATGGTGCTGGTGCTGGCGCTCGGGGATCTCCACATTCCGCACCGGGCGCCAGATCTGCCACCCAAGTTCAAGTCGATGCTGGTGCCCGGCAAGATTCAGCACATCCTCAGCCCTGGCAACCTTTGTATCAAGGTAGGCAAGGAAACAGGGTTTTGGTGCGCGCGCTAAAGCTTGCTAAGCCTAGGAAATCCACGACTACCTCAAGAGCCTGTCTCCGGACGTGCACATCGTGCGAGGTGAATACGACGAGGACAGTCGCTACCCAGAGACGAAGCAGCTGAGCATCGGAAGCTTCAAGATCGGCCTGTGCCACGGCCACCAGGTATAATTCATTCATCGCCCCTGATCTCCATCCATCTCCTGTGCTCTTGTGCTCTTCAGGTGATCCCCTGGGGCGACTTGGATTCCCTGGCAATGCTCCAGAGGCAGCTCGACGTTGACATCCTCATCACCGGGCACACGCACCAGTTCAAGGCGTACAAGCACGAAGGTGGTGTTATAATCAATCCAGGCTCCGCCACCGGAGCATACAGCAGCATCAGCTACGATGTCAGCCCCAGCTTCGTGCTCATGGACATTGATGGCTCCAGAGTTGTGGTGTACGTGTACGAGCTGCTCGACGGAGAGGTTAAAGTGGACAAGATCGATTTCAAGAAGCCGGCTGCTGCTGCCGGTGCTGCTGCCGCGGCATCGCCATAAACAAGCACGTTGGGATTGATTGAATGATGATGAACACGACTTTGGCTATGTGTAAGTCAGTCTTGCAAGCTGGTGAGTGGAGGGGGAGGGGCTTTACGAGCTGCAGTGAATGTGGGGGTAGACCTGGCACTTGATGATCTTGTGGTGCGCGCGGAAGCCCGGCATGATCATGAACTCCACCTTGAGCGGCGAGGAGCAGCGGCGGCAGGGGTCGTCGGGGACAGCCACGGGCTCCACGTAGAGCGGGTTGAGTTCACAGCCTTTGCCGACCCGAAGGATGACGACGGGCGGGTTCATGGAGAAGGCCAACCTGTGCAGCAGCCACACGCCTTTGGCAACGTCCAGAAACGCGGCCGTGAACGCCTCCCGCTCCTCGACGCTCTTGAACAGCATGCTCATGTGGAAGAGCCCCCACATCTCTTTGGTCTTGGCCTGGCAGAAGCGCAAGAAGTCGGGCTCGAAGCAGCGGCTGCTGCTGTTGACCGCGTCCGCCACGTTGACCAGCTTCATTCGCTTGTACTCGCCCAGCCGCGCCGCGCACCGGGTGCCCGTGTCCAAGATGCTCGTCACCCCGCTCTCATCAAAGTTGTCGTTCTCGAAGCAGTGGAAGAAAGCCTTGTTGATGCGTGAGTCGAGCACGAACGCCGTGTGCTCCTTCCTCAGGAATCCGCTTGACGCTTCCATGTCCGCCAGGGTGCGGCACACCGGATACCCCGAAACCTCCATCTGCTTGATAAACACGTTGCAAAAGTAGCGCATGGACAAGCGGGCCCGTACCACCGCCATCTCAAACAGGAGCACCGTCGCCGACAACTCCGCCGGCCCCTCACCCGCGGTCGTCACCGTCGACACACTGCTACAGCTCGTGGACGAGGCTGCCGAGGAGCGACATTCCATCTCGTGGAGCTGCTCCCGCTCCCTGCTGGCCATCACCTGCATTTGCTCCAGCTGCCACTCGAGCATGTCGATGGTATCCTGCTTGTCCGCCAGCGCCGCCTGCTGCCTCTTGCTTAGCTCCACCAGCGCAGCCGCCCGCCTCCTGTCCCGCGGCTGCTGCTGCTGCTGCCAGCACGACATGAGGGTGGTGATGACCCCCAAGGGTGCCCGCAGCGCCTGCAACCCCGCACGTCGACGAGGCCGCCTGCACGCCTCATCCTCCCCCTCCTTGTAGAAGAGGGGATTCTCGTTGAAGCAACTCTCCCCACCTGGAATGCTCATGCTCTTTTTCCTTGTCCTCTCCGCGCTCCACGTCTTGACTTGTTCCAAGGAGCACAAGCTGTCGGAGTTGGTGTCGCTGCCGCCAGCTGCTGCTGCGCTCCTGCAACCATCCATGCAAAAAGCCTACCTCCTCTTGCTGTACACAGGGAGGCCGCGCCGATCGGTTTCGCTGGCTGTGCAAATCCGCGCTTGCTAAATACATCTCACGAGATATGGGAATATCCTTCCGCTGCATTCATTTACACAAGGGGAAGGAAAACGCCATCCCTTTTATTTATTTCAGACAGATATGAGAGAGAGCATTCCAATCCAGATCTCGGATCTCCCCAAGTTATTCTCTTGATTGAGCCCACCCCATCCCGATTCCCGAATTTCACTGGACGCCTACCTCCTACATGAGGCTGTTGACGAAATTGATAGCGCCAAAGAGGCAGGCGATGAGAGTGAAGACGAGCATGGCCAAGACGAGGGACAAGGACGCTACGCACATATCTAAGCTCGACTGCATCACCTCCATGCTCCAGGCGTGCTACCCTAGTCAGGGAGAGCTGGGGAGCCAGGAATATTCTCCCGGATGCCCCGCCTTGCTCGCCTTGGTTGTTGCCGCCAGCGCGGGTATGCAGCTGGTGCTCCTCGACAGTTGCAGTCCCGACCTTGCACGACGCACCAGCAGCTGCCTCATGGCGCTCGTTGCAGCGGCCACCGGATTCTCCCGCACCGTAACGTTGAACTGCTTGCATATGTTCATGTGCACCTGGATTGCGTCCTCCACTGCTTTGCCACCACCACCACCCTTGATCCTTGCCTGCTCCTCCTTGACAGCCTCGGCGCACAAGCCACACACGAAATGGCCGCAAAACTGCTGCTGTACCCGCTTCACGTAGCCGGCGGTGCATTCTTCTCCCAGTCCACAGCACTCACACTTGGTAACGTTGGTCGCCACCGCTCTCTTGTTAGCATCTGCAGCGGCTACAGCAGCCGCGGTTGCGATGACAGAGTCCGACACCACCCGGTAGATGAAGCCATTGGATCGCTGCTTGGGACTAGAGGCCACCATCTTTGCCATCGATCACCCCCACTCCCACTTTGGAGGCTGGCCCCTCTTATATACCGCTGCGGGTGCGGGCCGTGAATCTTTTCGCTTCCTGGCTGAGAAGCACGGCACGTGTTCCCGGAGCCTTTTACACGAATCCACTGCATTGGGCGATTGCCAGGCACCACCTTGTGCCTCTGCATTCTAGTTGATCACGTGCTTGCTTCTTCCGCTTCAATCCGCTCCCGCCAATGCCCAACGTGTGTGCCTGCTTTCACGTCTCGTGAGTCGTGACGCACCGCGCTGCATGCCCTCGTGACGCCCTTGCAACTTGCGCTTCTACGCATTATCTAGGTTGTGGTGTCACCACAAAGACTTCTACGCATTATTTACGTTGTGGTGTCACCACAAAGACAAGCACTTGACGGACGAATCATCCCTCGGCCGTGGAAGTGTCCACGCTGCTCCCATAGATTGCTCTCATGGATGGGCGTGCCGGCTGGTTTCTTCCGAGCGGGAATCTCCAGAATGAATCGGACAACTCAAAAAAGATGTAAAAGAGCGCCGCAGACATGGCAATCAGCCCCGCCAGAAGTAAATATACCTGCCAATCTGAAGCGCAAGCAAGCATGCAACCAAACAATCGTCAAAAGTCAGGAATCAGGGTCAACAATGTGCTTGCCTTTCCATGGCCACGGAACGTTGGTTGCGGTTACTCGCACGTTTCCATCCGCTGACACCGATAGCAAAGCTCTGCGTACGTGGGCACCAGTTAACCAGCATATTTCTTCCAGCGGGTGGACAAAAACCTTGAGTTCGGAGACATCTCTAACAACGTAATACCACATGTGTCAGCTCTCTCGACATACTGCCGCTTCTGCATGCTCTTCACCTCTATCACGGAAACAGCTCCATCCATGCCACCACTGCACACAGCTCACAGCATTCTACGTAAGCGCATCACACCCTTGCTCTTGCTTACAGTGCTAAGCGCTTCCCATCGCACGAGGTAGCCAGGGCTGATATCTCACAGTCTAAAAACTTCTTGGATCCCAGCCTGCTCCACTTGGCAATCTCCCAGACTGCAACGTACCCCTTCCCATCTGCAACACAGTGTCAGCGACAGAAAGTCTCGACGGAAGAGGATAAGCAAAACCTCTGAAAGCAGCCACAAAAAGAAACGGATGAGATCCATTTCGTGAAAATCTACAGAATCCAAAGCTTTCGGCCTGGGAAAATGCAAAACCCACAGCATTGTGTATGAGGAAGCTCGCCATTGAACCAGCGCTCACCTTTTCCCGGTGTAGCGATGTCAACGGCATGGCCTTGTCAAGGTCCCATACGCGGCAGGGGCCATCCTCCGACGTTGAAGCCAGCAGCGCTCCATCCAGGCTGCAAGCATACGCGTCTTGTGTGGCGCGTCAACTCGCGGAATATTACCTGAAGTCCAAGTCTTTGATGCTCTTGTGTGCCTTGGGCTCGTCAATCAGAGTGGTAAGGCCGGGCCAGTCCAAAACACGCAGCCGGCCATCCTGTGCACAGCGCTACCACTCAACAGAATTGTGGACAAAGGCAGACAATTACCTTGCCTCCAAATGCGACGCGAGACCCATCTGCGCTGAAACAAATCTTCTTCTGCTCCCCAAAACCATGGAATCGTTGCGGATCCATGTCAGGCGACCAGCTCAAGCTGCCTTGTTCAACCTGTACAAACCTGAAGGTGGCCGATACAAAAACTTTTCCAAGACAAAACATCCCTCTTGCCTGCAGCTCGCCGCAAATGAGCAAAGAGCTCCATCACCGGAGGGATGAAACGCCAGAGCCTGAGGGGCCTCTTGGCAGGGGAGGACACAGGCCTAGCGATGCGACTGTGAGAACGGGGCCAAATTTGCATCCGCTTACCTCGTCCTGGAGAAGCTTTTCGTCAAACGAGTATTTGGCAAGCTCGAGGCGGCCGTGGCCGCCGTCGGTTTTGGCGATGAGCAGCAGCGCGTCGCGGTCGATGCTGCGGGATGCTGCCCATCCTGCGCAAGTGGCGGATCCGGTGGTGGAGGAGCACACGCCCAAGTAGCGCCGACGCGGCGCCATAGCAACTAAGCCCCCTTGTGCGTTTACCTTTTAGGCAGGATTAAATAAAAGGTGTATTAGGGCGTGCAGGGAAGGGTATGCAAGAATGGCTCCTCCAGTGGGAGGTGTGGTGCTGGACTGGCGTGCCTCTTTCAGGATCGTTCGAAAGGTTTTGTATTGGGTCATCTTCATGGCCCGTTTCCTGCAGCTGCCCAGCAGAGTGGCATTGGTAGCAACAGCTGCTGGTGACAGCGGCAGCGGCAGCAGCGGGAGCGGCGGCAGCAGCGGCACCCCCACTGCCGCCGCCACCAGCCTGCAGGTCTCCTCCTGGTCGTGGATGCGACTCCTGTCGTTGCGCGTGCAAGAGGAGGATGGATCTTGGCGGAGGGCTGTAGCCCGTAGGAGGCGCAAGAGTTTGCAAGCCAGTACGGTTTGGCAGGATCGGTCGTTTGCCAACTCGAGGGGCCAGACCATCTTCACGCAGTCATGGACTCCCACTGACTGTAAGCGTATCAAGTTCGTCCTTGCTCTTGCCTTGCACCATCACCTTCTTTGCTTTGTGACTTACCGCTGGCTTTCAGGGGATTAGTCGTTCTACTCCACGGGCTGAACGAGCACAGGTACTCTAGCTGTTTGTTGTCTCCATGTTGATCGGTGATACGTCTAGTGGACGTTACGAGCGCTTTGCCACTCAACTCAACGCACATGCCTACTCTGTGTACGGGATGGACTGGATTGGTAAGGATGTACCTCAGTGACTTCGCTAACCTGCTGCCGTGCAGGGCATGGTGGCACTGACGGGCTTCACGGTTACGTCGAATCCCTGGACTATGCGGTTTTGGACACGGTATCTATTTGTTTCTTCTCGTCCTTTTAGTGTTGTTTCTCATACGTTTACCAGGAGGAGCTCTTGTATAGAGTTTCTGCGGAGTTGCCGGGCATTCCGGTCTTTCTTTTTGGCCACTCCACTGGCGGTGCCATCGCTCTAAAGGTTCGATCGTTCGTGGTAAGTTAATAGCAACCTCTTTCTTTGCAGGCAGCGCTGCGGCCGAGTGTGCGGGACTTGCTGGCTGGGGTAATACTAACATCTCCGGCACTTCGTGTACAATCGTTTCACCCGGTTGTAGAGGTAGGCAGCAAAAAGGAAGTCTTTTGTGCAGCGTCTCACGCGTTTAGATTTACAGCTTGTCGCACCCTTTTTTTCCATGGTACTTCCCAGGTACCAGTTTCAGGCTGCAAACAGGCGGCGCTTGCCCGTCACTCGTGATCCCGTTGAACAGGTTGCTAAGTACACCGACCCCTTGGTGTACACTGGACCCATCCGGGTTCGAACGGGTACCGAGATTCTGAAGATCACCGCTTTCTTGCAAAAGAACTTGCAAAACGTGAGCACTCCCTTCTTGGTGCTGCATGGGACGGACGACAAGGTTACCGATCCAGCGGGATCGCAGAGGTTGTACGAGCATGCTCGCTCCAAGCGCAAGACGCTCAAGCTGTACGAGGGGCTGTTACACGACTTGTTGTTTGAAGTCGAGACAGACAGGGACGTGGTGACCAAGGACATCATCGACTGGTTGGAGAGCTTCAACGCTCTGCCCATGTAAAATAATATTGTTACACAATACAAATGGTTCACTTGTTTTATTGCTTGGCCTACGTGCCGGTTAGCAGCAGCAGCAGCAGAGGCGATGAAAGAGCGAGCGGATCTGTTCAATCTGCGGTGGAGCGTTTTTGAGCGCTTCCGACACCTTCGCAAACCCTGCATAGAGGTAGGACGAGGAAGTGGAACCGCCGGCAGATTCTTCCTTGGACGGGATGCGAGGCCCAGCGGCGACACAATTTGGCGGGTAGAGTGCCCATTGCATGGCCCATATGGCAAGCGGCCTCATGTAGGTGAGCGCCCGGAAGTGGCCGTCGGTAGTCCAGGCCTCCGGAGTTTGGAACCAGTAGCTGGAAAGGCAGCAAGCAGCATGGTGAGAGGGGCGTGATGAGAGAGCCAAGGCGCTTTACCCGTAGCCGCTGTCTGACCAGCCAGCATTGTAGATGCCCTCTGCGGTCGTGAAGGCCTGCTCCAACATCCCCTCGTGTATCATGGCCGCAGCAGCCGCGTACGTGACACCGCTCCAAATCTCTCGCGACTGCATCGCGGTCTCGTCCACCCTTCCGTTTGGGTGCATCCCGTTTACAGCACCCAGCTTGCCACCTTTTACCTTCATCACGTTGTAGTCGTAGATCCTCTGCAGGGCACTCCGCGCCTTGTAGTCGTCAAACAAGGGGGGCAAGCCCGACGCCCAGGCGTACCACTGGCCAGCCATCTGGTCGGCCTGGATGGAGTTGCTGTTACTGCTGCTGCCGCTGTCGTAGTTGAAGTAGGAACCGTTCCACAGCTTCTTGTCGTATACTTTTCTGGCATCACGAAACTTTCTGAGGAAGTAGTTCGCCGCGTTGGGCTCGTTCACTTTCTCCGCCATGGCCGCTGCTGCTTGCAACGCCGCCAGCCAGAGGCCCCCACAGTAGGCGCTGATTCCATGCACGGTCCACGTATCGTACGTCTGGTCTGGGAAACCATCGTTTTCTATCATGCCGTCCCTGTCCCGGTCGAATCTGTCCATGTATGCCATTGCAGTGTACACGGCCGGCCATGTCACTCTCGCAAAGTTGAGGTCCTCCGTCGCCACTACGTCCCTGTATATCTGCAGCACGAACTTGGAGTTGAGGTCCTTCCACCGGCTCGTGTCGTGGATGTTGTACGCGTTCACCTCAACCCAAGGGTCGTGTATCCCCAGGTCGTGAGGCACTGCCCCTAGCACCTTCTTGATACCCCACTTGCCCCCAGCCAGGAACTTGACGAGCTCAGGGTTGTGAGACAGTGTCGCGGCCGCATAATCTCGCTGGATGCTCAGCTCAAGCTTGGGAAACAAGCTAATGAGAGCGAAGGACGCATAGAAGTGCACATCGTACGTGCACCACATGACGTACTCTACGCTCTCCAGGTAGAGGAACTGCCCAACGTTCTCCTCCCCGTCCTCGAGCAAGTACGTGCCATATGGGAAATCGCGAGGCGCCGAATTGATCTGCTTGTCCAATATAGCAGCCTCCATCGCTTTCACCAGCTTCTCCGCAATCTCCTCTTCTGTCTCCGACAGAATGGCATCGACGCCACCGTTCCCGGTAGTTCCTCCGTTCAGGGGGATCATCTCCACAAGCTCTTCCACAGCACCAGTGATACTGCTCTCGCTGTTTGTTCTAGACGTGAAACCGTTTGATCGAAATGAGGGTGTGACAAACGCTGTGTCCGGGACTGCCAGCTCCGCGTTCCCTTGCAACGGGGGATTGCCATCTGCAAAATTCACTCAGAGCTCGCCAACCAGCGCAGAGATGTGATACTCAACCTGTCCACACCGTCCCGCCAGCGACTAAATAGTAAAGCTCGTTGAAGAGCGTGAATCTATACCTGGACCCGCCATCATAATACGGTTAGCCACGCTTAAAACACAGCAAAAACCATACCATTCGGGAAGATTAGCGTCCTTGAGCACAGGTTCCTGCCACTTTTCAATTTCGGCCTCCCACTTTGGATAGTCTGTTCAAATCAAAGTCAAGGCTCATCTACATGCAAGCAAGCCAGCGTACTCAAGAGTGCATCGTGGACAAGTCTTGGAGCAGCATCTCCATAAGAGCCATAAAATTGAGTGTAGCGCCTGCAAACATCACAAGACGGTTCACTATCAAGCAGGTATAGCCGCCTACCCCTACCTGTGATATGATCTGCCCTTTGGGAACTTGACTTCTGGTATATCCCACGACAGAGCGAAGTCAATAACCTTCTTTCCATGCGGTGCAATGGTAACTGAAGCAGACACAGCAGCTCCAAGTGATGAATTTACGAGAGAAGGAAGAGAAGGCTCACAGACAGTATCCGTATCAAAACATCCTTTCTGAACACCAAATGAGGAAAAGATAAATCAACAATTTGCATTCACCTCTCTCATTTGGTTCCACATTTCCTTCGCCGTCATGGTGCTTCCTTTTCCCGAAACCAAGAAGCTCGGACAAACAGAAACAGCGACATCGGCGTTTTGCCGGGCCGCAATCGCAAACTCCACACTTGGCTGTCCTTTCGCGGTGCTGTAATCCAACGTTATGATCTCGCGGAAATTTAGCAGAGCATCTTACCGATGGTGAAGGACAACACCTGCAACTCCATCGTCCTCGCTGAATAACATCACTTGATCAGACCTGGTAACAAAAGAAACTGACACTCACAGAAAAGGCTTGTTAGAATGTCCACCGGATAAGTGAGAGTCTCCCCCAACGGAATTCTGAGACGCGTCGTCTAAGTAAGTGTGACTGGGGAAAACTCCAAAGTGGACTTACCGCCCAGGTAAATAACAGACTAACACTCGCCGATTCCTTCCCCGTGTTTACTATCTACGACGGGCGTTCAAATCAGAAGCGGACCTTGAGAGGACACAAACGTACCACGTAAGAGAAGACACAGACTGGCAAGCTGCTTTCTCGATAATCGTGAGGAATAAACGGTGAGACTTGGCGGCATGAGATCTTCAAATCCGGATCTGGCTCGCCTTCGGATCAACAAACCACAGAAAAGAGATGATTTGATCAGGACTAAGGTCTTACGTACCATCATAAATAGTCCACGCCCGCGGAAATAAGCCATGATAAGTTGAATTTTGGCCGTCAAGGTTCCAGTCCCACGCACAGATTTCTGGACTTTGAGCCTTTTTCCTGTGTGCACCATGTGTTTCCCAGCAAGCGAAAGAGAGAACATTTACGCTTACCCGACATCAAGCTCCGAGGGGCGAGGCGAAAGAACAGATGCGATCTTTTTCTTTTCTCCATGGTCCTTGTCCCGAGTGACGAAAACCTGCCATGCTCGGTCAGTGTGGTGACGACAGTAATCAAAAGAAAAAAAGAAACAGGCAGCACCGACTGAGAATTGATTTGCTAATACTGCAGCTTCACTGGTGACAGAAGGCAACAGCTGCCACCGCCTGAATTCGCCACGAAACCCCCTTCCAATGCTTCCACCACTGTTTGAGAGTAGAAAAAGGAAAAAGAAATAAAAAAGCGCTGCTTGCTGGACCATACCCCATTCCACCAAGTGGCACGCCGTGGCAAGCGGATGGTTTGGTTCCTCGCTTGAACGGGTCGATGGGAGGTGTCTGTCACGTGTCACAAGACGTGAGAAGGAAGGGTGATGAGCAAGGGGATGCTTACTCTTCCCTGAGAGCGCTCGGCTTGTATGAACTTCCACAACCTCAGCCCCAGCCCGAGCTGCCACAATGACAATGACAATGACGAGATGGCCGCCAAGACAAAGAAGAGACTACCAGTTTGAGTGCCTCGGTGAACGTCACCCGGAACTCGGTCAGAAAATTTGCGTGACAGTTGAGCTTACGCCTCCATGCGTGTGCGGGAGGAGCCCCTGGATCGTTCTCCAGCTGAAACAAGAGGAACAAAGGCCGCTAAGGCAAACAAAAGAGGGATGGATCGTACCAGCTGGAGTGTGGACTTGGGCACATAGTCGTAGAGCGGCCAGGAATGCCTTCGGCCGTGAAACATGCTGCGCTTCCTCCTGCTGCGCCTCCGCCTCTGCTAGCATCAGCAGCATTACCTAGCCGGGGATTCACTTGACCTAAATAAAGAGGATGGAGGAGGAGGCGTGTGATGCCTGGTTCCAAGCGCGGGGACTGGTGGCGCACCAGCTCGACTCGTTCAATCGCTTCTGCGGCGCAGGTGCCCATTCGCTGGCCCTCCTCTTTGGCTCCCCCGCCCACTTCACCGACATCAAGGGCGAGGTGAGGATGGCAGCCATGCCGCCATGCCGCGACCCCGTGCCCGCGCTCGCCACCATCCGTATCCGCAACCTAGTCCTCCACAAGCCCGCAGATGCCACCACAGGCCGCCCCCTCTTCCCACGCGAGGCGCGCCTCAGGGGCATCACGTACTCGGCGCGCCTCTGCGCGGACGTTGAGCTCCAGGTGGGTATGGTATGGTGACAAGAGTGGCAGGCACAGTCACACACGCTACCTTCCTAGGTTGACGCGGTCGCAGGAGAGCAGCGCAACCCCGTCGTCAACCGCGTCTTCCCAGCCGTGCACATTGGCGACATACCCATCATGGTCAACTCCCTGCTCTGCAACGGTCACGACGCCGATGCCTTCGACTGTGGAGGCTACTTCATCGTCAAGGGTGTCGACAAGGTGAGTCGTATAGCTCCCTGCCACCAACACTAAAACTCTCTGTGAGAGAGCAACCAGGTAGTGCTTGCTCAGGAGCTGGTGTGGCCACAGGCGCTGCGCGTCCTGTGCCCCAAGACCGGCTCGGATAACTGGAGAGTGGAGCTGGAGCAAGTCAAGGTGGACCTGGAGCGCGGCGATGGCGTCTTGTTACTGTCCGCGCCAGGGCTGGACACCATTCCGCTGGTGATCGTATTGGCAGCCCTCGGAGTGTCGACGGACAGGCAGCTGCTGGAGGTGATGGTCCATGACACTCAAGACGTGGAGCTGACGGAGCTGGTGCGGCCGTCCATCGTGCATGCTAGGGAGCAGATGCAAGAGTTTGTTAACAGCAGCGGTGTCCACGGCGGCGGCAGGGACGTTACAAGCGTGGCTGTGGAGCTTGTGGGGAGCAGGATCAAGCCGGTCACACCCTTGGCAGGCCCTGCACAAGAGAAGCTTGTCAGCTTGCTGTGCAACACGAGCAGCAGCAGGCCGGCAGACAAGGCTCTGCTGATGGGCTACATGGTGCGTTGCCTGTGCCTGTGCGTGGTCGGGAGGAGCACGGCGGACGATATCCACAGCTTGAAGAACAAGAGGGTGGACTTGGCCGGGGACTGCATGTTCAAGCAGATGAGACACTTGAGCGCTCGCTTCAGAAAGACGACGCTCAAGAGGGTGCTCAAGCATGTGGAGGCTGGGGGACTAGATTGCCTCACGGACAATCTCATCGTGGACAAGTCTGTCATCACCAATGGGCTGCGTGCGGCCTTTTCCACGGGGATCTGGTCCCTCAACAGGTATTCCTCTTGCACAAGTGGGGTTGTCGCCACCCTGCAGCGGGACAATCCCATGCACACCCTCTCTCAGTTGCGGCAGCTACGCTCGGCATCGCGCTTTGTTGCCAACGCTGCTAGACTTCCGTACGTTGATTGTCTATCTCCTCCGTTAGCTCCGCTCACTGTGGCGCCCCGTGCAGGAACGCGTCCCACTATGGCAGGATATGTCCCGTGGAAACTCCTGACGACCACCTCGCTAAGACCATGGCAGTCTTCGCCACCGTGTCTGCTCCCAGGAGCCACGACAATGTCTTGGAGCAGCTCTCCCACTGCCAAATGCAAAGCTCCCAGGGGCCGTTGGTGGGGTGGGACAATGTGTTTGTGAATGGGGAATGGGTGGGAGCGACGGACAAGCCAGGCACGCTGCTGCAGGCAATGCGGAACCTACGGCGCAACAAGTTAATCCATCCAGAGGTTGGCGTGCTTGTTTCCCCTGCTTGTCTCTTGTTTCCTGACCAAGCTTGCAGACCGAGCTGGCTCGGGCTCCCAGCCGGGCGGAGATACGGATTTTCACCGATGGTGGCCGCTTGCTGAGACCCCTCCTGGTGGTTGACAAGCAACGGGTGCTTTTGTCGACACGGGAGCACAGGCGCGAGCTGCGGGCCAGGCCTGCGCACGAGAGATTCGACTACATGCTCGACACCGGCTTGGTGGAGCTCTTGGGAGCTCAAGAGGAGAGCAATGCCGTGATCGCGGTGACACGCAGGGAGGCCGAGAGTAGCAGCAGTTTCACTCACGTGGAGATGCATCCGGCGTCCCTCCTGGGGGTGAGCGCAAGCGCCATACCTTTCCTCAACCACAACCAGAGCGCCAGGGTCACACACCAAGCGCAGAAGCACGGGAAGCAGGCCATTGGATTCTACATGTGCGACATCTTGTCCAGAATGGATACCAGCGTGAGGCAGCTCTACTACCCGCAGCAGCCCCTGGTGTGCACGCGCCTGGCGCAGCTCCTGGCCAGGCCCGAGCTCGCAAACGGAGTCAACTGCGTTGTAGCGGTTGCCTGCTACGGTGGATACAACCAGGAGGACTCGCTCATCCTCAACCAGTCGTCGCTCGACAGGGGCCTGTTCCGCTCCACTCACTTCCGTGTCCACAGGGCCACCCTCGACTATAGCTCCTCGGACATACGCTTTTGTAGGCCGGAGACGGAAGTTGCGCGGAGCAACACTGATGGCATTGACAAGCTGGACAGTGATGGCCTGCCTTTCATTGGTGCCGAGATGAAGGCGGCAGACGTGGTTATAGGGAAGGCCGGGCGGAGGCCAGCTTCCAAGCTTGTAGACCACAGCAGCAAGCTCCGGAAGCTGGAGCAGGGGTGGGTGGACCAGGTGGTGTGCAGTGGCGGCGACGAGGAAGGGGAGAGGCACGTCAGAGTTAGGCTTCGAGAGGCCCGATGTCCGCAAGTCGGGGACAAATTCAGCAGCATGCACGGGCAGAAGGGTGTGGTCGGTATGAAGCTGAGGCAGGAGGAGCTCCTCTTCACCCAGCAGGGGATCGTGCCGGACGTGGTGATCAACCCGCATGCATTCGCCAGCCGACAGACACTTGCTCAGATGCTCGAGAGCGTGGTGGGGAAGGCGGCCGCGGCTTCTTGTGCTCGAGTGCAGGCCACTCCCTTCGCTCACCCACGCGCAGAGGAGATTGCGCAGCACTTGGCCACGTGTGGTTACAACAAGTGGGGTCAAGAGCGTGTCTATAGCGGGCGCAGTGGCAGGATGATGGAGGCCATGGCCACGGTTGGCCTCACTTTCTACCAGCGTCTGCATCACTTGTCCGAGGACAAGATGAAGTGGAGGGGTGCCAGTGGACCCGTACACCCGCTTACTCACCAGCCAGTCAAGGACAGGAAGCGGGAGGGGGGAACCAAGTTTGGCGAGATGGAGAGGGACTGCCTCATCTCCCATGGTGCCTCTGCCACTGTCAAGGAGAGGCTCTTCTTTGTTAGTGACAGGTCCCTAGTCCCAGTCTGCACAAACTGCCATAGGCTTGCTATCCTCAACTGCAAGCAGCACCCTCGCTGCCTCTTTTGCAACCCGCAGCAACGCATTGCCACACTAGACATGCCACATGCGTGTAAGCTCTTGAGCATGGAGCTCAGATCCATGGGCGTGGACATGAGATTCCGAGTATCACAACACTAATAAAAGTCATGGAAGAATATCTTTTCTTGTCTTGGTCTGATCAGTTGTGTCAATTCGAACATTTAATTTGACCATTTGGTACGATTGATGACTGTATTGTCTAAACCTTGAAGTGTACATGCCACTAAGGCAAGACTGGAATATTACTCCATAATTTTGGGTTGGGCGCTTAAAGTCTTTGCTATGAGACAAAATGCAATGAGGATTTTCAATTCAATTTTAAGAGATTTGGCTAGGAATAGGAAGTTTCACTTAGCGAACTTTTGCGATTTTGGACAACAGTTGGAGACTCTTGCATGTTCAGGTGAGCCTTTTCTTCATGCTCGCTAGGAGATTCATATTGTGGATACCATGGCATCATAGGACCTAGGAGTCATCCTCAAAAAATTTGTGAACCACACCATAATTTCAATTGATGGGATCTTATCATTGGTGGATTTTGTGGTAGTGGATTTCCAGCATGTTGACTCACCCTCCCTCAAGGACTTCATGATTCTGGGATTCTCTTAGCACCTCCACGTAGATGCTGAAATATATTGGAAGAAGGGGATGATGCAAATCAGTGACAAGATAACCAAAGCAGAGCTATACAATGGACATGGCCTCTGTCTGATGAAGAAGGCTCCTACCCCTTCTCCAACACAAGTCCCTATTCCTACTCCAACTCCAAAGTGCTCAACTTTACCAACCAAGCTAGCTGCTGTCTTTCATGAACCCCTCAACAACCTTTCCTTACAAGAGATGGAGGTCTTCAACATTAACATCATTCATGGATTCTTAATATCTAATGGCAAGTGATACAGGTTTTGCTGCAGCAGAAAAGAACAATTGGTTTGGCCTCCTTACCCCAACTAGGGAGAGATCAAGAATAAGTTGGGTACCTTAGGTTCACTTTTGAACCTCAGACCGTGCGCAGTTCACTTCCAACACACTTGGGGTTTCTATCTAGATGATTTTTTATGTGCCTAAGAAGGAACCTGACCAGTCACCCCATTCTGAGCACTACACTGAAGACTTCCCATCACTAGCTCATTATATTCACCATAGGTGGCCAACCAGTCACCTCTTTTTGGAGCCAGCCAAACCATGCACATGCTTAACAGTGGCATTCATTGCTGCTGATGAGATTTTGACTTCCAAACATTCTTTGTTTGGACCACGTATGCATTATGGTATTTGCTCTTGTCTACTCACTTTGTCTTTCTTTGGCTTGCCACCACTCCCCACCACCTTACTCATAATCAAATACTTAGACTTGGCATTACATGCCCCAAAGGCTCTAGATTTCTTCTACATTCAGTTATGGCTTTCAGCACAGTGTCAAGCTGCCATTTGGGGCATCTTTAAAGAGAGTGATGGAATATTTGAGGTTCAGAATATTCCATATTGTTGTAAGTGTTCCACACATTTGAGTCTTTAGGTTGTGAGTGGAGCCACAGAGAGGAAGAGGATGGAG